TACTTTTCTCCTATAAATACCTGGAAGCAGAGTGCAAAGATGCTGCCTTCAGAAGAGCGCTAAAGGACTTATCTTTCTGCAGCGAAATCCCTATTCCAGGATACTACAACAAGCCTGAGAGAAAATTCGGGGTAAGAAGATCAACTACTTACAAAGGAAAACCCCACTCATCTCATGCCAGGATTGAAAAAAGGAAGCACTTAATCAGAAATAAGAAATGTAAGTGCTATCTTTGTGGAGAGGAAGGACATTTTGCAAGAGAATGTCCCAATGATAAAAAAAATATCAAGAGAGTTGCAATGTTTGAGCAACTGGATATCCCAGAAGATTATGAGATATTATCAGTACAGGAAGGAGAAAATCAAAGTGATGCGATCTACTCAATCTCTGAAGGAGAAGACATTGAAGACCTACAGCATGGTATTCACTCCTTTACTCATAAAATATTTGCCTTAATTGAAGATAACAGGACTTGGTGGATAGGCCCTGAGACAGGCTATCGTGCTAAGATCCGGGTCTCACAAGCTCAGGCAGAATGCAGACATATATGGAAAATAAATACTGAGCTCCCACCAGAACTAGAAAAATGCAAATGCTGCAAAAAGATCTCCCAAAGAAGACACAGAAGACACTGTCCATTATGCAAAATTACTTCATGTGGGATGTGCAGCATATATTATTTTGACAAAAGAACCCCTGTTATGATGGAGGAACCACCAAGGTACGAGCCTAGAAACTTACTTCAACAACAGCAAGATTTTATCAATCACTGTGAAGCAGAAATAAGAAGGCTTAAAGGGGCTGTGGAATCTGAACAACAAAAGGCCAAGGAGCTAGAGGAGATGCATGCTCAATCTATAGCCGTGGCTCAAGAAAACCTCCGCCTCCAGAACGAGGTAACAGAATTAAAGGCAAATTACGAAAAATTAAAGGAAGAAGTACTGGAAGTAGACCAACTGTGACTGGAAAAGGCTGACCTCCTAAGGGAAATACAAAGATTGGGGAAAAGGATAGTGGAGGAAAGCGAAGAAGAAGAAGAAGAAGAAGAGGAAGGCGAGGGAGCCCTCGTCCTTCTAGAAGAAGAAACCCAAAAAATTCTGTCATTGGAGACAAAGGAAACAGGAGGAGCAAGGAAAGCCAAGAACATGCTCTTCAATTTAAAGGTACAAATGGAAATTCTCAATATTCCCGTTTTTGAAGTAAATGCTATACTAGACACAGGTGCAACCACCTGCTGCATAGACGAAAGGGCTGTGCCAAAAGCTGCACTGGAAGAAAATCCTTATATAGTACACTTCAGTGGAATTACCTCCAAAACAACTGCAAACAAAAAATTGAAGGGAGGAAAAATGACTATTGGGAATAATACTTTCAGGATCCCCTATACTTATGCTTTTACAATGAAGCTTGGGGATGACATCCAGATGATAATTGGATGTAATTTTATAAGGGCAATGCAAGGAGGAGTCAGGATTGAAGGTAACACTGTTACATTCTACAAAAATCTAACTACTATCAATACCTTGCCCTATATCTCGACAGTTGCAGCAATAGAAGAATTAGATTTGGAAGAAGAAGATTACATCCAAATCCAAGAAGCGGTACTATATTCAGCAGGAACTCAACAAGATGATGGGGATATAAAGAAAAAATTTGGGAGTCTGCTGGATCAACTAAAAGCCCAAGGCTACATTGGAGAGGATCCGCTTAAACATTGGGAAAAGAATAAAATTACATGCAAATTGGAAATCAAAAATCCAGACTTTGTGGTAGAAGACAAGCCCCTGAGACATCTGACACCACAAGCAAAAGAGGCCTTCTCTAAGCATATAAAAGCATTACTGGACATAAAAGTAATCAGGCCAAGCAAAAGCAAGCACAGAACCACTGCTATAATTGTTAACTCAGGAACTACTATTGATCCCATAACGGGGATAGAGAAAAAGGGAAAGGAAAGGATGGTCTTCAATTACAAAAGGCTAAATGACATTACGGAGAAGGATCAATACAGCCTACCAGGCATCAACACCATCCTCAAAAAGGTCAGCAATAGTAAAATTTATTCAAAATTTGACCTAAAATCAGGGTTTCATCAGGTCGCCATGCACCCTGATTCCATTGAATGGACCGCTTTCTGGGTCCCTGATGGATTATATGAATGGCTGGTGATGCCATTTGGTCTCAAAAATGCCCCCGCAATATTCCAAAGAAAAATGGACAATTGCTTCAAAGGTACGGAACAATTTATTGCAGTATATATTGATGACATTCTCATTTTCTCAGAAAATGAAAGGGATCATAAACAGCACCTGGCTAAGATGCTAAAGATATGCCAGGAAAACGGCTTAATTTTAAGTCCAACAAAGATGAAAATTGCCGTAAAAGAGATTGAATTTCTTGGAGCAATTCTGGGGAACTCCAAGATCAAGTTGCAACCCCATATTATCAAGAAGATAACAGAATATCAAGAGAGTTGCAATGTTTGAGCAACTGGATATCCCAGAAGATTATGAGATATTATCAGTACAAGAAGGAGAAAATCAAAGTGATGCGATCTACTCAATCTCTGAAGGAGAAGACATTGAAGACCTACACCTTTATTCTAGATATCATGCGATCTACTCAATCTCTGAAGGAGAAGACATTGAAGATTTACTCAATCTAAATAGAATTTTCTCTAGTTTTCCTTTATTCTCTCATCTTCTTTGTCTCCCCTTAATTTATCTCATCTCCCTCTATCTCTTTCTCCCCTTAATAGAAAGAAGGCATTCAATGTAAACGATAGAAGTGATGCTCCTATAAATTTAATATCAAACCCCATTCAAGATCTACACCGCTTCCAAAATATTGGCACACTCATCAATTGTTGTGTAAATTTAAGTAGATCATATGGAGATAATGATGGAAAAGTTAACATGGTTGACTATGAATTCCCCCTTAACAAATCCAACAAATTTCACACTTTGATCAAACAAATGCACAATTCAAAACTTGGTCCAAATCGATCAGAGTTGAAGAAAAAAAATCTGATTTTTTTCTTCCTTCATAGAAATGTATCAAAACTGACTCATGATAATCCTAACAATTTGCAACTTTTTATTTAATGTACATCTGAAGCAGCACTTTACAGTTTAGATGTTAAACATAGTAAGGGGCTGCTTCAATTCATATGGACCACCAACAGAGCTTCAGATAGGCCATAATTTCTGATGAAGAGTCTCGAAAACAGGCCTCAAGATATATCCTCACACCAGAATGACAAATGCAGAATGTGGCTGTATCAAGAGCATGGATAACAATCTATCTGAATCTTTGATAACAAGGACTAAAAAAGATATTTGCAGTGCATTAAAACTAAATATCACTCATGTATAAGAAAGTACTAGGATGTGTATCTTCTTAAGGACTCTCCGAAAGAGGTGCAAGAACATGACTTTTTGTAAAGTAAAACTGATTATCAATGTGAGCAAATGTGCATAAACACAAACATGATGCCAAATATTGTCATACCTTACGAAAAGTCTAAAAGAATGAAAAGACTAGCAAAGAGCTAACTCAAATACTGTATAACCATGTAGAAAGTATATGAAAACATAAAGAATTAAAGGCAATGCAACAATTGCATTCACAGTACCGATGGTTACTAGCAGGAAATATGTTGCCATCTTTTTGGAAATATTCGGAAAGACAGCATACCTGATTTACATAAACTGCATAACCAAGTAAGAAATAAATGATAAGGAAAGGAAGCAACAGCGGTGAAATGACGGCATACACCATCCCGATCAATATTGCAAGTGACACTATTGGAATAACTCTGTAGTAAGGGAACCCAAAAAGATAAGAATCATTCTCTATGCTTTGACCAAACAAACAGGTCCTCACAACATGCCAAGTAACCAAACCAAGCTGCAGAATTTCCAACGAAAATCCTGATAATCCATCTGTCAAAATGTATGTAATAAAGAAATCCGACTGCAAGACAAATACAATAACCACAAGATCATCTCGCTGACTGCTCCTTCAAAAACCATGAACAAAAGAATAGGCCTAAAAAAGACATGTTACACATAGTTAACACTTAACAGTGCTTTGATGGCAAATAGGTTAGGTTACTACCATTCTCACACTTGCTAACTTATCAAGTCTATGGTCGGTGAGAACAAAAGCCTTACAATCGAAAAGGTTTCAACCCTTGCTTTGCAAATAGACAAACATTCTTATTCAGGCTTCGAAGGAACTGAAATATTTACTACGTTTTAGTACAATCAAATGTTGGGGAAAAAATTCTTAATTTCAAAGAAATCAAGGCAGAATTTCAAAATTTTCCAAATTGATTTCTTTTAAGGATATGAACCATGATTATTCTCGATGTCTGATGAACAAAAAATAAATATTTGTTTTGTTTAGTTTAATAATGAATTAAAATGTTTTAAAGTCTCTAGCAAATCATGTATTAGGAGAACATATGAAAAAAGCCTTGTAAAGTTAGTAGTGAGGACACATGATACATTTATTTGACATTGTAGACAAGTAAAAAATTAAAATTATATATGTCATGCATTATTAATGTTCTATTACCATGCTTTTTAATATCGTCGAGTATAATGCAACATTTATTGGTCTAATAATCTATCAGTACGTGAGCCAGAGTAAACCGGGTGATTTAAGCTCGCTTTAAAACATGTCGCCCTGAACAGGGACTTGGTATAGGCTTGTACTAGGTGATAAGCTTATCCTCCTTAATATGACTACCCAATTAGTCATTGGGTAGCCCTTGGGGCCTTGTATTAAGACTCGCCATGCCAACCACATTGGCATCACCTTCTTCCCCCCCCCAACTATTCGTTGCCCTTTTTGTCACCACTGTCATTGGTCTCTTCATGAAAATTACCATGCCACATCCCACCTAGCCTCCCCTCTTGTACCAGTTTGTATGGTATGGACCAAGGTTCGCAATACCGTACCGTACCGGTATTTCGACCTGGGCTCGGTACCGGTACGGTACGGTATACCGAGCGGTACACCCAGGTGTACCGAGTACTGTAGCACTGTAGCTGCTACAGTGCTACAGTAAATCGGAACGGTAACCGTCGGTCCGCGTACCGAAAACCTATCGGACCGATATGTACCGCCCGTACCGGGCAGTACAGCTCGGTACGGCAGACCCTGGTATGGACTATAAACCCATATTGACGTATAGTGTAGCTTGGTGTACCATACTAATTTGGTTGATAACCATTATAAAATGTAGTATTACTAACGTTAACTTAATTGATAACCAATGGTACATTAGTTTCTAGATCAGGTTTTTAATCCTTGGTTTGCCAAGCGAGATCCATGAATGACATTTTTGCTTCATAAGAAATTATATTTCTTTTCTTATGTAGGCTGTGAAAGCTGCAATTTTAATAGGGTGGAACTAGTCTGATTGGCACAGTATTATACCATCATTGACCCACATCGTGTCGAAACTAGACCTAGATTTTAATCCTTGGCATATATAATGAAATTTCTTCCATAAGGTATGTTTTTAATCATCAGTGAGATACTTATACTGGAACTATGACTTCAGAACTATAAATTTGCATTTTTGAGATCTTCATTTTAATGGATCTATGGCATGCCAATTTTAATTGGTCAGCTAACAATATTTCTGCATCCATATTCACTTCATAATATTTTTTCTTAGCATATAGTTATCATACTAACTAGATTCCAAATCAATATGGAACCTCGCAAATATTTCTAGTAAATAAAAAGAAAGAGCAGCATCTCATCAACCCATGCAGCTAAATTGATATTGTTTTGAATATAGTTTAATAACTGTTAATTTTAAAAGCTACCTGAGCTGAAACAGCACTTGCAAGATGACTAGGAAAATCCTTTGGATGAGTGAATGACTCTCCAATTTGTTGCAGTAATGACCCCGATAACAAGCTTAAGAAGAAAACATTCCCAACCAAGAAATAGAAGACCATGCTACAAGCTCTCATTTCTTTTCTGCTCTGAGAAATATAACCCTCTAATGAGGCCATATAGACCATTGCATAGGGAATGACATATATGAAGCTATTAAGAATCACACTTGGAAGATAGCCAGTCAGGAAAGAGCTCAACCCTGGTCTACAATTCAATAGAATATACGTTTGTTTAATAGTTAAACGACATAAAAGTTATGCCGAAAAGAAGGAGAAAGGAAAGTCAATGAAACTAACATAGTAAATTTATTCATAAATTTCCTTCTACTAAATGAACAGATGCAGGCGCCACAAGTTGAGTGGATATTTGATCATACAAGGTTAGAAATTAAGAATTTCATTCTCCTTAATGAACATCCTTATGGACTCGATAAATTTGAAGCATCAGAAGATGTGGCAAAAGAGTGAAAAGGACAGATATAAAGAAGAAGGGAAACAAGAGAAAAGCAGAAAGGATAAAGATAGAGAAAGGAAACAAAATAACAAGCTGAAAATGAAAATAAACTGCACAATCTGTGTGAATGATTTTCATCGTCAACAGACAGATTCTTTAAGAAAACAATCATATACATGAACGACGATAGGTTATCTTTAAATTTAAACAAAACAAACAATGGCGTGGTGGCAACTTAAAACTTCAAATAACCAATATAAAAAAATGCATAAAAGGATCGGCCACATTCGATTGGTGGGTCTCAAAAGGATCGGTCTATAAACCACGTGTCGTCATATGACGTCTGATGTGTCTGCCAAGTGTTTGCCAGGTTATCCCTTACCTATCAGTAAATAAAAAGATTTATATATACTTATAATTATAGGCATCTAAGGGACTAAAATGTAAAAATGCCATTTTGACACCGAGGACACTAATGTAAAGTTTTAATTTGACAATTGTCTAGGGACCTACTTGTAATTAATGTTCTCAATGATTAAAATGTAAAATTATACTTTCCATACACATCCTTTCCTCTTCCACCACCTCAACCTTTCACCACTTCTCATCACTGCCTTCAAAATTTCCACTACCTCATCACCCTATAAAAAGACATGTATACCCTTAATAAAACAGCAAGATAAGAAAATAAGAGAGAGAAAATTAGGTAGTATTTATTATTCTGTTATTTTATTATTTATTATTCTATTGATTAATGTTGTTATTTAGTTATAATGTTATGATATCAATTGGTTAATTTTACGATGTCAAATTGATTAGTCAAAAATTGATAATTTAATCAGCCCAATTAACACGTAAGGTAGCCCAAATCTGTGAACCCAACCCAAGCTAGGTTCGGGTCTATATAAAAACAAAATAAAAATTAGATGCCCTTACCATAATTCAAACCTTAGACCTTTAGTTGGATTCAAATTAAATCTATATATCATAACTAACCTACCTTTTCATATGATATATGCCATTATTTGAACTTAACATTTTCTGAGATCAGATAATACTAAATAATGATTAACTTAAAATTATGATATAAATAAATTTTTATTAGATTCATTAAATATTGATGAATCTTTTTTAGTTGTTTCTCATTGTTATCTGAATTTTTGGATTTAAATGGTGTACTAAAGTATTTTATAATATGTGCCTACATGATTACTAATGTTTACTGAAGACATTGGTCCTTGATATTGAGCAGGCAAATCAGTACTGGTACGGTGATTCCTTTCGGTGATTTAACAGGCCACCAGACATGGCGACTAACGATCTCCTACTATAGATATAAGAGACGTATCTCCACTTGTGGCTAGTGAGAGATACTACCTCAATGGGAGTGCGACATGGACCCTTTCCATTGTTGTTGGAAAGTTGTCTATCCCGAGAGTTTGAGCGTCCTCAGTAAGTATCAGTAATCATGTGGGCATATATCATGCAATGCTTTAGTACACCAATTCAAATACAAAAATTTAAATAACAATGAAAAACCATTAAAAAAGATTCATCAATATTTAATGAATTTAATAATAATTGATTTATATCATAATTTCAAGTTAATTATATAAGAATATGATTAACAACCATGATCTATTCTCATTCAATCTTAAATAATCTTTAATTCCAAAATATTTATCACCCGTTTTGTTGGTGACACTTTAAGAAAAACATGATCGCTTATTTTGAATTCCAAATCTCACCTTTTCCAATCAACACAAGTCTTTTGTTGACTTTGGGTTGTTAGCAATCTTTTACTTATCGACTAAACAATTTTCACACCTCTTTAATTCATTTGAGGGTTGAACAATTTTCATATCTCTTTGATGAATCGATTGAACAATTTTCTTTCTCCTACATCATCCCAATAAATGGAAGATTGATATCTTCTCGCATATAATGCTTCAAAAGGAACCATTTAAAGTCTAGAGAATTAGTTAATTCTACCAAATGTAGATGTTCATCCCAGCTACCACTATAATCCATCAAACAAGCTCTAAGAAGATCTTCTAGTGTCTGTATAGTTTTCTTAGACTATCCATATGTCTAGGGGGTGAAAGGTTGTCCTAAATTTATGTTCCCAATGCCTTTTGCAAGCTACCTCATCATCTCGAAGTGAATCTAGGATCCCGATCTGAAATGATACTGACCAGTACCCCACGGTATCGAATAATCCCTTTGACATATAATTCTGCTAATTGGATTAAAGAGTAATTCTTTTTTATCAGAAGGAAGTGTGCTGACTTTGTTAGGCAATCAACTATCACCCAAATAGTGTCACACTCTCGTTGGGTTCTAGATAGACCTGACACAAAGTCGATAGTCGTGTGTTCCCATTTCCATTCAGGTATAGGCAAGTCTTGTAATTTCCCAACAGGTTTTTTATTCCAACATTTACCTATTGGCACACTAAACATTTGGAGACATTCAGCAATGTCTCTCTTCATGCTTCACCTTTTCTTCCCTAAAAACCATAAATAGAAACAAAGTATTTTCTCTAACTATTTTTTTATATCTAACTCCCAATCAAGACCTAGATATACTCATATACATAATGTATATATAACAACAAATCCTAATTCACTAAGAACTTATCTTCAGACTTGAATCTCTAATCCTAATCTTTATCTTTCAAGAAGTTTGAATCAAATTAGGTTTTATCCACGAATTTGAAACCTCTTAGAACTCCGAAAGTACTTGCTAACCCCAACAATCTTCCCTTGGTGAGTATTTTGTCCACCCTCCCGAAGAGAATATACTTTGCCTCAAACTCCTCTTAATCTTCATCAGTCATCCTTATTGAAACTCTAATCACAAGAACTTTTGGACTTGATACCACTTTATCGGGGAGAAGATTTCCAAAACCAAACAAAGATTATAGAGATCATTAATAAACAATATACTTCAAAGCCAATATAAGATTTTGACACCCTTTGCTTATATATAAAGAAAATATCTAATTTTTCATCATGTGAGTTCAATTACAAGTACCCTTGAATTAACCTCAATCAAGCATAAATCAGCTTGTACAGCCCTCCACATAAATTCTGAATAATTTCTCATACCTTTTCTCTCACCCTCTTCAGAAAACTTACGTGCACCCAATGTATTTTCTCACATCTTGCTCTGCCTCAACCTACACAACGTATTTATAACAACAAAAGCTAATTCACTGAGGACTCATCTTCCTACTTGAATCCCTAATTCTAATCTTAATCTTCCAAGAAGTTTGAATCGAGTTAGGATTCATCCAAATAATTTGAATACTCTTAGAACTCTAAAAATACTTACCAACCCCAACAGTTAACAATATTAACAACATTTATTCACTAGAAAAATTGGCTTTTTCTAGCTGACATAGACAGAATCAACAACAAAGACGAACAAACTTTAATGAGAAACTTGAACAAAGAACCACTTACATTATCTGTACAGCTCTGGCAGGAGGGAACCACTTCTTTAAGTTTTCAAATTGAGCGATTCCTTGAACTGCTGTCACAGGCAAGGCAAAGAAAACTGTGAGTAAAAGTGCTGCAATGAAAATTCCAGTTCTGTATAGTGTCAAAAGATGACAAGGGATAGCTAAATTTTTCCATATGACATCTCTTGGCTCTGGTGCAGCTTCTGTGGTCCATAATAGTGGATGCATGTGCTGCTGTGTCTGTGCAGCAAAGGCAGCACCACATCGAGACTTAAATGAGACGAAGGCAACAGGTAATTCCTGGAAAATATGACAAGATCTCAAAAACCTAAAAGAACTCATATTTTACGGTTGACCAGATTGCTTGTAAAAAATGCATGCTGTAGATTTAAATTAAAATACAGACATCTATGTAGCAAAAAAAAATAGACATTAAGTTCTCAAATTATCATAAGGTCTCTTCTAAAACTTGTCACATCACACTGCAAGACTCAATGTACTTGTGCAACAAGCTACGCCATATAAGTTGGTCAACAAAAGGCAGAAAAACAATATTTTGATGCAGCCAAAATGCAACACAATTCAGCCTTTATAGACATTTCAGTGATCCTAGCTCATTAAAGAAGGAGCAATACATTAGACATGAGATTACTTGAACTTAAAATAAGGTATTAGTGCAGCTCATTTGGGTCCTTACTTTTGATCTAAATCTGTGGTACTGGGTAAGTAATAAACAGTGAGTTCCCTTGCAAATTTAAGAGAATTTTCTTCTGTTTCATTTGTTGGTTCCAGGGCGACCACCGGTGGCCTAAAGTTGGTATTAAGAAACTGATGTGCTGCTCCAAGATTTTCCAAGAGTTTTTAACCAGGATCTTTAATTCAGAAGTTGCCCAGTCCGCGTACTGATTAGCCATTGGACTGTTAAATACCAGTCCATATGAGTATTTGAATCTACCAAGAATTATGAAGATGAGAAAGCTACATTGGCTCCTCTGGGTTACCATCTGATCCTCTTAGCGCCGCCTCTGTCTTCTCCTCCTTATCCTCCACTTTCTCCTCTGATAATCCTCCTATACCTCCTCGTCCTAATCCACCTCCTCTTCTCCTTCTCCTCGTCCTCCCCTGCTTCCTCTCCTGTAGCTAAATGATATTGACGAGTAAGTTTGCTTATTGTTTGTTATCAGTACTATTAGTTTTATTTATTTTTGATAGTTGTCACAATTGTTTTTTTCTTTTTTCCGTCCTTTCTCTCTTTCTCTCACCACTCTCTCAACCCTCCTATGCCACATCCCTTATGTCTCAATCCCCTCCTCTGCACCACCATGTCACCGCTTCCTCCTCATCTAGATCACCACCTCATCCTTATAACGCCTTTTTGCCTTCTCCTTCATCTCTTATCCAGTGTTTTCTCCTCCTTTGCCTCCTCTTCCTCCTAATCTGCCATTGCCTCTTCTCCTTCTGCTTCTCCCCCTCCTCCTTCCCCTTCTCCTTCTCCCTCTTCTCTTCATCTCTTTCCTAATGGCATTGACCCATATCAAGAGTTGATACATTGATTTGTACTAGTCTAGCCACGAACCAGTATCAGCACTAGATGGAGATTTTAAACCTAGGTATTACCTATTTAGTAAAGGTATTTTCTTTCAATGTTTGACGTACTGTTTGAAACAGTACAAAATGGGTGTAACTTATTGGTCCACAAACTGACACTTATGTATGTTGACCAAACAGGACAGTAAGAAAAGGGTCAAGTATTGGCTGAGTGATATATTGACCGATATGGGTCAGTATCGATTGAAATTTGATCAATACCAACCCAAATCGGATCAAGTTTAACTCCAATGATCAAACTGACCATTGGGGCCTCTTTTGGGACTTTAAATCCTCTCATGCTCCTCTCTTTTGCTCACTCTTATTCTCACTCTTTCTCACACTCTCACATGTGATTAAAGTTCCTAATTGGTGATTAATGGTAATCAAGCTATTGATTAGGATAAAAGAGGGATTCAAACATAGGATCTAATGGAATTTTTATAAAGATTAAACATGATTAAGATCATTTTCTTGCGTTAGTCCTAATTAGGTCTATTGTCTTACATTTAGGCCCAAATTCAGGGTATTTAGGGTTAATCATGGCCTTATACATTTATTTATGCCTCAAATATATACTATTCTTAATTAAATATAATAAAATTATCATTAAATTAGGATAAAAACCTTAAACTTTTTTTTTTGTGAATTTCTGGCTTTTTTTTTTTCAAAAACTATCAGTATGTCAGTATCGACCGGTATATATTGGTTCGCCCATGGACCTATGCCACCGGTCGACACGATACGATGGTCCTTCTTCTCTACTATACAATAGGTAGTGAAATCCTAAAAGTCCAAAACTGAGAATACTAACCACTTTTAGAAAACAAGCGTGGGAAAGAATATGTCTATATTAAAATCATCACTTTAAAATGGTCTATCGAAAGAATATGTTCATCACTGATGCCCATGAGCCCATCCAAGTAAATTTAATCTTGTTTGTTTATTATTTAGCTTCTTTTAACAAAAATGTTATTAATGCAACCATGCATCTCAAACTCACAAGTGTTAGTACTAGCACAGTGTAACTACTTCCATCCAACAATATGTAATAGGCAACAATAGAAAGGAACCAATCAGTAGACAGATGAAATATTGAAGTCAGCAAAAAAGATATATGGCACATGCTTCTATTTTTGTAGCCCCCAATGATCCAATATTTCCATTCATTACTAAAGCAATTGTATAACATGACATTACTTCAAATTTCTACTGCACATTTCCATTCATTAATCTTTGGTTTCATTCATGAATAGAAGAATTGAATAGTAGTTAGTACCTTTTTGTTGATGATATTTTCATGTTGTAGCAGATGTATTCTTTGGCGTACTTCCTGAAGACTTTCCTCATGAATCTTTGGGTCTCCAATATGTGACCAAAATGTATCACAAAGACACAACCACTTCATGGGTTTCTCAACAGCCTTTCTACGCAAATCCTTAATTTTGTGTTGAAGTGAATATGCCAATTTCTGCAAAATATTAACTTCTATAAGAAAATGGTACAGAAAAATCTCAAAAACATTAAATAAGATGTACTAATCTTGACTCTAAGTCTGTGGTAATATCATAACTGCATTACTTTTTCTAACATTGTTAGAATGTAGCCTGACCCCCTCATACAGTGCAGAGCTGTGTAGAGAACTTTATGCGAGCAATAACTCAAATGTACTCATGATGTCTGACAAGCAATCTACTCTAATCAAAAGAAATTTTGAGCAAAAAATGATATGCAAGGTCAGAATTTTTTCTTGGCAAAAAGAGGATTCAGAAAGGTTCATAGAAAATAAAATGTCCATGTAACAACAATCTTATCAGCAATAAGATCATAAGTAACATCTTATAGATGAAACCAGAAAGGTAGTTTAGTCATTAGAACAGATAGAATAACAAAAGAAAATACAAATAGATATGAAACAGAGACAAATGGTAGGAGCAAAATGCATCATATGTATATATAGTATGTAATGCAGAGCATAATAGGTAAGATTCAAAATTCTAGCATATTGAGTAATAGCTTACCAGTAGCTTTCTAATGCATTTCCCATCATGGACTATTTTGTATGATTGATATGTGAATGGATGATGCTTGGAGAAGAAGTGGTCTACACAGCATCCATAAGCCTTGTGTTCAATACAAAGTGGAACTCCTCTAACTAGCACAGTGAATTGGTCAGGCCGCTGCCTGTTGTTACCAATATGTTGAAGTCGAAGAACTAGTATCACCTTATATTCCTAGTTATGGAATCATGAAACAGAACATTAACACAACTACACAGTAGTCCTCTACTTAAAACAATCATAAATTAGACTAAAGTAACACCAAATAACTTATATAAGCAATTCTAGCTACCACAACAATATTGAAATCATCACCACAATCATCCCTCATTCAGAAGAATATAGTCTTGAACTACATTAAAGGCACACCAAAAAGTATAAAGTGATATAACATGACATTGATTCTCTTGAATTATGCTTGAGCTCTGAGTCCTCTGACACAAGTAAAGTTAAATAGAAGGGGCTTCAATGAATTGTGAATGGGACGTTGGGGTATTGACCTTTATTATATACAAAGAGAAGTGATCAATTATGTTCAAGGATGGGCAAGGAAAAAGCAGATACAGCTTTTGTTTGGAAAGCTCAGTTTCATATGCAATTAAATTGTTATACACTGCTCACCACATCAGATCTAAGAACCTATCACTCATCAACAGAGAGACTGCGAAATAATTCATATGCAAGAAACATATAGGACACCAATGGATTTTTTTTCCCCCCATTATTAGAACAAAGTATACAAGGGAATAGCAAGTGTGACATGATTGCTATGGATGCTTGCCAATGCTTATGAACAGGTTAATATCAGATCATCCCCAGCAAAGATGGAAATATTATTTTTCATCCACAGTGAAATGAAAAGTTATCATACTTTCTAGGTCATACAAATTAAGCCAAGATCGCTCATTTCTTTTCTAGCATTTAATGCAGCCTTATTTTTCTGTCCAAGACCATATCAGTCATTAGCTGGATCAATACAGGTTTAATGTTGTACCACACAGGATACTAATATACGGGTCGGCACAGATCGAACAGAAAGAGGGATAAAAGAGGTGGGAGGAGGAAGGGCAGAGGAAAAGGAGGAAGAGAAGGTGGCAGAAGAGAAGTGGTGGAGCAGCAGCAGGATGAAGAGGAGGCATATAAGAAGAGGATGTCTTAGGCCCTTAACATAGCACAGTGGATGCCGAGGTGACATGATGAGGCAGTGGAAGGAGAGGAGACGGAGAGGAGGGAAGAGTGAAATCATCAAGAGGAAGATAGGGAGAGAGAGGATCAATGGAAGGAAAAAAAAGAAAAAAAAATAAAGGACTAGTTGTCATAAAAAACTTAAAAGAAGGATGTGAATATCAGTGTTAAGACTTCCTATCCAGTACCCCTGAATTTCAAGGGTGGTTTATAAAGGGTTACTAGACAATAACCCTTGTTTCTTACTGGACTATGTCTGTGTTATGTTTTTTAGTTGAACTGGTAAATATTAATCAGCGCAGACTCATCCAACTGGTTTTTAAATCTTTTCTTCGACCTATTGTTGTCATGAGCATATGCTGTTTTAACTTCAAAGTTCAAGGTATGCTCTCTTCACGCTAATTGTTTATGTGTTTTCTGTTTTTGTATTGAGAAGTGTATGTCAATTGGACTAATCACCCATTACATATATGATGAAACTCATATAACAACTTATTCACCTGCTACCTAAACAACACTTATGGATTCTTTATGGATTAGTGAAAATCATGAACAAACACAGAACTCAAATCGATGACTAGGTTGTTTTGGCTTTGGCAATAGTTTTACGGTAAAAAGCATAAAGCCTAAAGTGTCCACACTTGAACATCATAATGAAATTAATAACATGAAAATGTTGCACACTACAACTATAAATCTCCTGGTTTCAAATGAAACCTGTTCATTCCCACATCAAATCCAAATGTTTAATTAGTCTAATGTCTATGTTTAGAGTGAAGCCTAAATCATTCCCATATCAGATCCAAACCATATATCCGTGTAGTTCATGTTTTTTCCCATAGTACCATTCATGGTCCACCTTATTGGTTCGTATAGGTGTACCGATCGGCTATCAGTACAGTATTTATTGATATATCCACACATGGTACGATGGGATGTACCGACAAACCGATATATACCACCCATACCAGTCTCCTATTAGATTGATATGTACCGCCCATACTGGTTAATATGTCACAGTACGGTGTACCTGAGTACCATTTCTCTACTAATAAAGAATGTGTGAGTTCTCCTATTATCTATGATAGGTTTTCCTTATAACATTTGTTCCCCTCCCACGAGAGCAAGTGAAAGGGGCAGGATGTCTTGGTTGATTAAGCATGTGAAATTACGTTTGATTTAGAATATAACTATGTCGTTAACAGTGTAACTTAGTCAATAAAATCTTTATAGCATACTCAATTCAGACAATTATCCAAGTTTCTATTCCAGTTGTTCAATATCATAGTTCAGAAAATGGTTGTGAAATCTATTCTATTTATTCTCTTATTGTTCTGGATAATTGACTATATACTAGTTAAACATTAAAAGATACTATGGATGATTGGGAATTAATAATGAGATGAATATATAAATACAAAATTGAAACGTGACCAACTAATCTTTTTTGTTTTTGACAACCACTTATTGAATTTGTACATGTAAGGTGGTCATATAGTGTTTGTTTAGGATAATGTGAGCCAACAATTTCTCGATCAGAACAAATGAAGAATCAAGGTATGAACTTAGAAAAGGTAGGAAATCAATATAGACATTTCTGATTTATGATCTTATACCCTACATGGAGAATATACTGCTAATCATAAGTGCCCTACAAGCCAATCACGTGAGTAATGACACGTGTGACTTGATACGCAATCTTTTTGCTTATTATTATTATTATTTGATATTTTATCATTTTATATTACCTGTTGTATGAATATATTGTGATATTCATGGATCTGTGTAATGGAAATCGGATCATGATAAGATCACGATATTGAGACCGGTTCGCCTTTAAACACGGATCCTAAATAATCTTGATCATAAGTTACTCGAGAGGGACATCGAGATAACCGGACAAACTGGTGTGTTGTATACCCGTCCATATGATGGATGTAGCTGATCTCATAGCTGCTCATGTGGGGACAATAGAGATACAATGCAGGTGCTCATTAGAGAATGAGTTCACTGATTGATCCGCTCATGGAATGTTGGATGGTTGATGATGCCTTATTATCAAACAGCGATTCCGTCATCCTAATGGTGTATCTGGTCCTTGACTTGAGACACCAGGGATGTCCTGTATGAGTACTCCATTCTTTGATACCGGACTTATAGGTCTGGAGGTTCCAAATCTAGTACAGCCGGTCATTGGGAGTGGTAGCCAACCTTACAAGGGCTATTGAGTGTCGATAGAGGATCATCCGCTCTCAATGTCATGAGAGGAATATCCCATGTGTTTTTGCTCGGATAAATCCCTGGTCAGGGTCATTCGGATTGAGAGAGAAAGAGTTCTCCGGAAGAATCTAATCAAAGTGAGACTCGTGTAGAAACTGTATGGGCCTGACAGCATCATGCTCGGTATATGGTCTCTAAGATATTAGATAGATAAGGGACTAGAGGTACACGGTAACTGAGGATAAATATGTCCAAAGGATTGAATTCTCATGTATCATCTGGGGATTGCGACGTAGTGGTCTAGTACGTCCACAATCGATGAGTCCAGTTAATTATTATGGAGATAATAATTCACTAGAGCTGGAAGGAATTCTGACAAGTATGACTTATGACCAACTCAATATTGGGCCTAGAGGGTCCCACACATATGGTAGGCGTTGCGACGAGTAGAGGTTCGGATATGAGATTTGTTGGAGCCCTTATCTTATTAGATATCTAATAAGCTCCTGAATTGTTGGATCTTATGGATGAAATCCAATAAGAGCTAATAAGAGATATTGGATAGAGACCCACTAATCTAAGAGGCTTGGGTAGTTGGATGAAGATCCAGTACCCAATATGGCAGGATCCATTACGGTTAAGTTGACAGGGGGCCTCTATAAATAGGAAGGAACCAAAGACCCATAGGCTAGATGTTCTTTTTAGCTGCCTCCTCATATTCTCCTCTCTCCCTCTCCTCCTCATATTGCAGCCCCTATTTGGGGCGTGTGGACAGCAAGAAAAGACAGCCCCTCTTGATTGCATAGTGCGCGCGAGGAAGAGTTTTGGACAGCGATTTGATGAGCATTTTCGTAGCTCATGCCGTGTGGATCACCGTCAGAGAGGAGGATATTTGACTTGCTTCATCCTCTCCCACAGTTCTACAGGTTTTCAGGGATATACGATCTCCCTAGGTAATTCTCTTACGCACAATTTTTCGGTTTCGCGGGTTTTTGCGCACTAACTTTTGCATAACGATGAAGCCTTCTTTTCTGCGAGAACTCTGGGTTTGTTTTTTTTGTTCTTCCGCTGTGCATATGATGTCGCCCCAGATTTCTCAACATATATACCACTTGTATAAAAAAAATGAAGAACCTACAGGTGATAATGCCTCAAGTTAAAACAATTTCAAAGCTCATTGTTGTTGCATTAGGAGGCCAAAAAGAAATAAATGGCCGAAACAAGAAAAGCTCAATAAATTCAACTATTTCACAAGATCTACAAACATCAAAACTTTTGCAGACAACCATGAACGACCATTTCGCCTAGACCAATTAAGAAATAAATGGTATGTAACGGTCTAATCGTGTACCAATGCACGGACCACCCCTATTTAGGATGGTCCACTCTAACCCATTAAAAAATTAATTAATTAATACTCTTTAGGGCTCATGTTCATGAGCCCTCTTCTCTTGAAAGCGAGCCCTCTTCGTATTCGCCTCCTAATTGTCACGAACGATCGTCGCGCACCCGCAACAACTCCATTTAACGAGCCGTTCGTCGCTCTCATCTACATGTACAACTGCTTGGCAGCATGTTTTGGCTTTGTTTTAAGTCCTTTTGCTTATAAAAATATAAGTTCGAACAAGTTGCAGCGCTACAGTGCGACCGCTCACCGAACCGAGCAAAACAACCCCAAAACAGCTCCGTTTTTGCGTGCCACGGGTTGTTTTCTGTAGCTCGCTGCTGCATGCGAAACGTCAACCATCTCAGCACCCTGGAACCACCCG